CCCAAGTTCACCTGTTAATTTTTCAGTGGAACGTAAGCAGTACCCATCATAAGTTATCACAAGGCGCCGAGCCGCCAGGTGCCATCCCCGGTGCCCCACCAGCCCGGCCCCGTCTTTGCACCACTCCATCTTCGCTTCTGTGGTCACTCAGCTTGCTCATCTGTAGAATGGGCTGGGGCCGGCATATCTCTGAGGTCGCCCCTATTTCAAGCCCCTCCCTGCAGGCACCCTGCTGTGGCCAGAGCTGTTGGGAGGGACTTGGGGTTGGGGAACGGGATAGAGAGCAAGATTCACCAAGCATTTGTTCACCCATCTTCCCATTCATTCATTCATTCATCTGTTAAAGCAAAGATAACCTTGAGAGATCATTGTGGATGGAGGCCAGTGCTGGGGGGACACAGAGGGACCGGGGTGGGGGAAGCTAGGGGAGAAGGCATTTTTCACTGGCGCTGTTGAAGCCTGCGTGTGAGGGGCCAGCTCCCTTGTCCTCCCCAGCTCCGGGGCTCTCCCGCCGGGCCGTCCCAACGCCGGGTACAGGGTACTCGTCAAAGGCGCTGAGCCTGGCCCTGTGCAGAACACGCTCCAACCCCCTTCCTGCTGCTCTGGGCAGCTGCGGCGACTTTAGCTCCCAAACTTGGGGCCTCTCCTCTGCAGCGGGGCTTGAGGGGAGAGCGGAGGCCGTTCTGCGCCCCCTCCCATCCCCCCCCCGCCCTGCAGAGCTGGAGATGAGCACATGTGCCGCCCCCGCCCCCCTAATCCTCCCTGAACTTGGGGGAGGCACCGAGGCCACACCTGCGCGGCTGTGACAGCTCCCGCCTCTGGGCAGAGAAGGCCATCTCAGAAATGACACGTTGCCAACAAGGAGAAATCAGCTTCTGAATTCAAATGTGTCGGCGTCAGGTGACCCCGGCTCGGGCTGGCTGCAGGAAGACAGCTGAGATTAGAGGCTGTCAGCCTGGGGAGCGGCCGTGCACCAAGGGCTGGCGGGACCGGGGCTGCCACAGCTCCCCAGGCCCTTGGCGCCCCGGACTTGTCCAGACAGGGGGCAGGAATTCGGGCGCAGGCCAGGGTCTCCCAGGGCCTGGGGACGGCCTCCACCCTGCAGTGGGCCACTCTCCGTGGCAGGGCGCTGGGGTGGGGGGCCTGGCCCCCCTGAGCCCACTGCAGCGTAAACACTCTAATGGGCTTGTGAGAGCCGGGGAGGAATGCGGGCCCCACAGCCCCTGAGGGACGGGAGAGAGGGGGTAAGACACCCAAGAGACAGCAGCCTCCACTCTGCAGGGAGGTGAGAAAGGGCAGAGGAATCCTGGAGGGGGGGGAGGAGGAGGAGGAGAAGGGAGAAGAGGAAGAGAGAGAAGAGGAGGAGGAGGAAGGGGGGAGGGGGAGGAGGGTGAAGAGGAGAAGAGGAGGAGGGGGAAGAGGAGGAGGAGAAAGAGGAAGATGAGGATGAAGAAGAAGAGGAGCGGGAGAAGGAGGAGGAGGAGAAGAGGAGGAGGAGGGTGAAGTGGAGGAGGAAGAGGAGGAGGAAAAGGAGGAGGGAGAGAGGAGGAGGAAGAGGAGGAGGAAGAGGAGGGGGGGAAAGATGAGGAAGAGGAGGGGGGAAGAACTGGAGGAGGGGAGGAGAAGGAGGGAGGGGAAGGGGGGAGGAGGGGTCCCTGCTCTTCCCTCATCCCCTTCTCCCTTGCCCTCCCAGGGAAGGGGTAGGGAGGAGGCCGCTGTGAGTGTGGCGAGTTGGACAAGGCAGGGACCCTCTATGAAATGGGGCTCCTGGCGGGGCCCCCCAGGGTTGCCATGGTGATGAAGAAGGGCAGAGTGAGGGCCCGCAGAGGCCTCTCTGAGCCGCACACCCCACACGCTGCCACCCCTGTGCACGCCTGTCTCCTCGTGTGCAGCCTCCCTGAGTGCCAGCGACCAGCCAGCGCCTGCCGCCCGAGAGCTCCGTGCAGAGCGCCCAGTGAGAGGGTGCAGTGAAGAACGGGAAGCGAGGGGAAGGGGGCGGTCAGAGGGGCCCCGGTGTCATGGTCACTACTGTGGTCTCTTCCAGCCCTGTGCTCACAGCAGGCGGGGCGGTCTTCCCCCAGGTGGGGAGGTCATCAGTCCAGGGGGCAGAGTAACTGACCTTGGGCCCGTCTCAGCAGCACCAGGTGTTGGGGTCACCACAGCCGTGCGCTGTAGAGCCCAGAACACAGCGAAGGCCAGAGCAGGGCTGGGGGGGGTGATGCTGAGTCTCCCAGGTGGGAGGTGGGCGGGGCAGGGGGCGGCAGGGGCAGGGCTGGCTGAGGGTTTCCAGAGAGAGAATCCCCGACTCCGGCTGCTCCTGGTGCCGTCCCCACCCGCAGCAGGAATCACTGGGAGAGGACCCGCCTTCTCACTCCCTGTTCAGAGCTACGTCATCAGAGAAGCAACCCAGGGGTTTGGGGCGGTTTCGAGGGCAGCTGACAAGGGCTCAGGCATGAAAAGGGTCTGTGTTTGAGTCCTGGCTCTGTCACTCACTCAGCAAATGCTTTAAACTCCCCAACCCTCAATTTTCTCATCTGTAAAATGGGAGTGACTGGGGCCAGCACTGTGGCACAGCAGGTTAAACCACTGTCTGTTGTGCTGGCATCCCATATGGGTGCCAGTTCGAGTCCTGGCTGTTCTACTTCTGATCCAACTCCCTGCTAACGCTCCTGGGAAGGCAGTGGAGGATGGCCCAAGTCCTTGGGCCCCTGCACCCATGTGGGAGACCAGGAAGAAGCTCCTGGCTCCTGGATTCAGCTGGCCCAGCTCCAGTCATTGTGGCCACAGGGAGAGTGAACCAGCAGATGGAAGATCTCTCTCTCTCCACTCTCTCTCTTTCTAAGTCTGCCTTTCAAATAAATAAATAAATCTTAAAGAAATGAGTGCGATCATTCTCAGCCGTAGAGTGACTGCAAATCACAACAAATACTGTGGGGTGGAGAAGGAAAGCTCTTCTTTACGGACAAACGTCAACTAAAACATCGCAACAACGTGGGGATTGGCCCAGGATCGGGCCGCACTAGCCCCGGAATGGACCCCCAGGGGGTGCTGAAACCATGGGTCCATGATCTTCCCACAGTCTCACCCTCCAGACACATCACGATCACAAAGGGGCGACTCGACCTGGAGGGATATGGCAGAAATCACTTCCCCAAGGGACGAGATTCAGCATCGCTGTCACGGGAAACCGACACCCAGCGGCTCCTGAAACAGGCACGGGGAAGACCGTACGCCCCTGAGACGTGGACCCAGTCACCTGGACACAGGTGTGCCTCAGGGGAGACAGGGGTTACAAGGCCCCACCCCCAACTCCTCAAACTCTCCGTGTCGTGAAAGCAAGGCAGTCAGAGACTGCTCTAGGTTACAGGGGCCTGGAGAGATAGGACAACAAAATGCAGTGCTCGATGTTGTTAAAAATCTTTATTTATTTGAAAGCCACAGTGACCAAGAGAGGAAGAAACAGAGTGACATCCCCAATGGCCACATTGGCCAGGACTGGACCAGGCGGAAACCAGACACGTGGAACTCCATCCAGGTCTCCCACATGGGTTGAAGGGGCCCAAGGACTTGGGCCATCTTCTGCTGCCTTCCCAGGGGCATTAGCAGAGAGCTGGATGGGAAGTGGAGTAGCTCGGCCTGGAACTGGCACTCCGATACGAAACAACAGAGACGCGAGCAGCAGTTCACCTGCTGCGCCACAGCACCGGCCCTCGCAATGCTCGGTCTGGACCCTGGACCAGGAAGAAATGTGAGAAAGGCCATCTCCAGGGCCAGCCGGGGAAGTCTGGATCTGGACAGTGTCAAGGCCAGCCTCTGGCCAGGAAGCCGACCGGTGGTTCGGCTGGGGAAGGTTCGCGATGCGAGAGACGTGTGATGGAGGATTTCAGGGTCCTGGTGCCTGCATGATTCTCACAGACCCCTGGGCAAAACAAATATGCACACACAAAGAGAGGTGGTAAACGTGGCTACATGTCTGTAAGGGGGTGGGGGACGCCACGGGCAGAGTACCCAGCTCATGACTGTCTCAAGAAGCACCATTCCCCGGGAAGAGTGGGCAGCAGGCAGCCGGAGGTGGAGAGGCCTTGGGGCCTGTTTGTGGAGTGGTTTACAGGCGGGGGTGGGCGGGCTTGCATGGTGGGCAGTGGAAGGACACAGGGCTGGGAGACAAAGCCTGGGTCCGCCTCCCAGCAAGGGGACCTTCTGTCTTCTGTGAGTACTTAACCGTTCTGTGCCTCTTTCCCTCTCTGAAAAGGGATGTGCCACCCGGTGAGAAAATCCAGGAGAAGCCGGAGCCCAGAGATGACTGTCGTGGCTCAGGACCAGTTGGCCTGGGTCCGGAGCACCGAGGGCGCAGGTGCAGGGGGAGATGCAGGTGCCTGGGAGGCTGGGCTGTGGTCCCACCTCTGCCTGCCTCTCTTGGGACCCCAGTGAGTGTCGTGGGCCCTGAAGAGTAGAAGCAGGTGCGGGCCTGAGCCCGAGGATCACCACTCTGTGGCCTTCAGCTGAGGAAGGGCTTCCTCGGGCCAGCGGCCCCCAGGAGCATGCTGGGAAGGCCATGTGGCTGGAGGCGGCACTGGGATGGGGTGGGGGGAACCCCCTCTGGTTCCTCCCATGGGACCTAAGGGCTCCTGCTCAGCCTTATCCTGCCCCCTCGGGAAGAAGGCTCTAGAAGCCCCTGCCAACTTCAAGGGGGACCAGGCTCCAGCCTGGCCTGACTCAGTGTGTCATCTGGGATGGGTTACTTCCTCGCTCAAGGCCTCAGTTTACCCAGAATCCATAAAATGGGGTGATTCACCCCTCCTTCGTCTGCCCCTGTGGAGAGGCAGCTGGAGGGCCAGGGACCCCTGCTTTAGGGGCAGGCAGGTCTGGGTTCAAATCCTGCCATTGCTGCTTGCTAGAAGCCATCAGGATTGTCCACACCCACAGGCCCCACACCCTGAACCACTGCGGGTGGTCACATACACTGCGGCTGGGTAATCGCAATACAAATGCACACAGACTTACAGTGAGGAGTTTGTCGGTTTATTGTCCTTCTCCCCTATGGGGATGTCAACACTCCGAGGCAGGGACTTGCCCATCGGCTGAGTGATCAGGAGACGAAGGCTCCCCTTTGCGGCTCTACAATGTGCTGAGACCGAAAGCTCTTGAAGTTCATGGTTGTTAGGAAGCTTTAGAAAGCAAGAAGCACTCTGCAGGGTGGCCTGGGTCTGCCCGCGGGGTCGCATGTTTGCAGACCAGAGGGCGGGGGGCACTGCGGGTCCTAGGAGCCGGGCAGGGGTGTCCAGGGGCGAGGGAGGGCGGGGGCAGGGGCGCCTGGCCACCTGTGGCCCCAGGCACTTTGTCCAGTGGGCTCCCTCGTGCTAACAGCCAGGTGGGAATGCAGGTCTGGGTTGCCTGTGCACCTGATTCTTCTAGGCTGGCCAGAAATCCAGTGCGGAACGATTCATTCTTCGAAAGAAAAGCATGAATAAGAGCGAACAGGAGCCGGGCGCACTCGCCCAACCGCCTGGGGCCATGTGGGCAGGGGCTGTCCACGCCATCCTTATCTCTCCGGGTCCCTCACAGTCACGGTCCCCGAAAAGCCAGGGACCCCGCTAGAGGGAAATGCCTGCTGGCCACCCGGATCCAGTGGCTTCTTCCCTGAGACGCTGGGCTGGAGGGAGGTCAGCTGCTGTAGTGCCCGGCTTTGCAGATGGTCTGCAAATAGTCCCGGAACACATCTCTGCAGTGTGGCTTCCAGCACAGCCCTCCCCTCTCCGCACGGCCCCACCCGCCTCGCCGGGACTGTGGAGGGAGCGACAGACACAAGAGGCACAGCGCATTTCTGAGCCCTGAACGTGTTCCCCGCAGGCCGGGTGCCCCGCTCCCCGTGCGGTCAGGACCACCCCCAGCCAAGCTCTCCTACCAGAGCATAGCATCTCCACAGCCCAGCAAAGAGGGCACCCGGCCCCGAGACCCAGGCTCCGCCCCACCTGCCTGTGTCCAGCTCAGCGGGGACTCCAGGGGGCCCGGGGCCAATCTCCCCAGACAGATGGCTCCCGGGCAACATACACCCCTACATGTGCTGCCCATGAAATATAGAAACTATATAAATAACATAAATACTTTCCCATTTAGCATAGCTGTATAAATTATTCTCTTTTGCCCTAAAAACTATATATGTGAGGTAGACAAAATACCCTGTGAGAATTTCCCTTAAAGCTGTAGAGGGAGGGGTCCGTGGCCACTCTGGTGCCCAGGGGACCCAGCAGGGCTGTGGGGGATCCCTGGGGGTGACTGGAGGGGGAAGGGTGGGAGCAGAGTGGGGGCGGGGAGGAAGGGGCTTCACAGAGAGGGCCCATGAGCTGAGGCCCCCCGAGCCTGCTGCTGGGCTCTGCTGGCCATGGAGTCGGGGTGCAGACCGCACGCTGTGGGATCAGGGAGCCCTGGCTCCCAAGTTGCCCCCAAGCCCCTCCTCCTGCCCATGAGCCAGGATGGAGGCAGAGCTGGGGGTCCCAGAGAAGCAGAGAGAGAGTGTCCAGGCAGCAAGGATGTAGAAATATCTAGAAAAGCAGTCCTTGACTCTTCTCCCACCAGCCACCTGGGTGAGCACAGGCAGTGGAGTGAGAGAGGTCTCCTCCTGCGCTGAGCCCCGGTCATCCAAGGTCCTCCAGATGCCCCAGGCCTGACCCACCAGAGCCAGGCAGCTCCTCCCGCCCCTGGAGCTGCCACGGACGAGGTTTCGAGCCCTCGGCGAGGCTGGAGTTTCCTGTTCAAGCCGAGGGTCAGCACCACCGGGTTCAGCGAGAGCGGAAGCTGACAGAGGGCGCGGCAGGGCCGGCCAAGCGGCCAGGGGCTTCCCGGAGGAGGTCACTTCCTCCCAGCTGGCCTTGGGCCCTGCTCTGGGCAAGCACACAGCAAAGTGACCCCGACGCAGCCTCTGTCCAGTGCCAGAGAGGCGTGTGCTGCTCAGCGGGGCCCTGTGCCCGGCCCAGGCGGGGCCACCTCTGTGCCAGTCGCTCTCTCCCTCCTGCACGTGGCCCTGGCAGGTGGCACAGGAAACGGCCACGGGAGCTGAGGAAGTTTGCGAAGTCACTTCCGGTCCTCAGGTCGGAGCCCACATGAGGACAAGGTAAGGGCTGCTGGGAAATAAGGGGCCTCCGAGGCGCCGGGCTCGGCCGAGGCTCAGCACCGGACAGCTGCAGCCGGGGCCAGGCCCGCGTTAGAGGAGCAGTCGCTTCTGACTGAGGAGCCCACCGCCCCACAGCACAAACCTCAGTCGCGCCGGGGGTCTCCCAGCCCGGGCGGGCCTCGGCCACGGAGCAGACCCCAGAGCAGGCTGAGAAGCTGAGCTTGGCCCCTGCCTGCTGGGTGCCAGGAGACTGTCCTCCTTCTCTGGGCTGGGAAAGTCGGGGGAGGTCGCCCTCTCCCTGCACACCCTGGGGACTGGCTCTCCCCACTGCGCTCCCTCCACGGCTGGCCTTATTGTGGGTAACTCCAAGACAGGAGCAAGGCCTCAGTGCGGGCCCATTTAACCCAGGGTTTCCAGGCATGAATCTGGCCGCGGTCCCCTCGAGCCCAGACAGTTTTCCTTCCTCCATATAAGCAGCTCCTTCCCCCTGGCCTCTCTGCCCATGACAGGGGAAGGGAAGCCACAGGGGTAGAGAAGGTGTGGGGCACCCAGAGCTCCCTGCAACTGGAGCAGGGCTGGGGGCTAGACCGCCCCACACCAGCTGACGCCCACCTTGGCTCCCGTCATCAGCCCAAAAGTGCACCTGCCAGCATGCGTCCCAGGGAGAGCCCCCGCCCCCGGAACCTGGTCCTGCCCTCCTTGTGGTCTCCCTTATCTCATTCGCTTCCCTTTCCACTCCTGCCTCTGGCTCCCAGTTCTCCACGAGGTTGGGGGCCCTTGCTTCAGGGATGGGGCTTGGCTTCCCTTTGCTGACTGCTGGGATTGCGGGCAGACAAAAAGCTGGCCAGGGACGGTGAGCTGCCCGCTCACGGGCGTTGGCACATCCCTCGGTGTGTGTGTGCGTGCCGGGCATGCCCGCCCAGAGGGGCTGCTGGACAGGCACCAAAGGCAGCCCTGGCCGCGCCTGGTTGGCTGCCTGGGCAGCAGGCCTAGTGCTTACAGGTGTACACCAGCTCCTCCTGCACGCACTGCTGGCACTCCACGTAGCAGCACCACTGCACCTGGCAGTGGCAGGAGAAGGCCACCAGGCGACTCTGCGTGTCGTAGCCCCGCCCGCAGCACAGGCTGCCGCAGCTGGCCTCCCGGGAGCACACCCTGCCCGCCGTGCCGGGAGAGTACTTGCTGGGCCGGCAGAAGCTGGGCGAGTCTTCCAGGTAGACCAGGTCCCCGGGCCGGGGGGCCAGGCCCTTGGCGGGGCTGCCTGGCTTGGAGGGGGCCCAGAGCTCCAGGCGGCCCAAGGCCTCGTTGGTGGCGCTGGACACCTTGACAGCCGAGTCATAGCGCAGTTTCAGCACCTCGCCCGTCTCGCGGAACGGGGCAAGCTGCTTCCAGCAGGTGCGCACCGCACAGGAGCCCGACACGCCGTGGCACTTACACGTGGTCCTGAGGCCGCTCTTCACAGCCTGAGGGGAGAGGCAGGAGGGAGGCGTGGTCAGAGCCCAGGGCCCAGGGGCCACCCTGGAGGTAGGAAGCAGGCAGAGGCAGCCCTGGGCTAGTGTGCCTGCCCTGGGGACAGCAGTGTGGACCCATCTGTGCCCAGCTCCTCCCCTTGACCTGGAGTTCTTGTGGAGTAGACAACCTGTGCAACAGAACACAGGAGCTCTGGTCTACACAACCCACCATAGAACACAGAACTCAGTTCCTGACAAACTGGAACGCTGGCCTCTCCCAGCCTTCTCACCCCAACACTCTTCAGTACTTTTGTTCCCCAGTTCTTCCACTGCTGTGTGACCTTAGCTAAGTTCCTCCCCTCTCTGGGCCTCCTCCATTCATGCAGTGTGGGAGGGTTGGGGTTGCCCAAGATCAAAGCTTTCAAAGGAAGTTGGCTTCTAGGATCCTCAGCAGGTGCAGCCCTTAGAATCAAGACCCCAGGGGCTGGCGCTGCAGCACAGCGGGTAAAGCTGCTGCCTGGCAGTGCCGGCATCCCATATGGGTGCCAGTTCAAGTCCTGGCTGCTTCTCTTCCGATCCAGCTCTCTGCTATGGCCTGGAAAAGCAGTAGAAAATGGCCCAAGTCCTTAGGCCCCTGCGCCCGTGTGGGAGGCCCGGAAGAAGCTCCTAGCTCCTGGCTTCAGATCAGCACAGCTCCAGCCGTTGTGGCCATGTTGGGAGTGAACCAGCGGATGGAAGACCTCACTCTCTCTTTCTGCCTCTGCCTGTTACTCTGCCTTTCAAATTAATAATAAATAAATCTTAAAAAAAATTGGGACCCCCGTCCAAACACGTTCCTGCTTCCCGGGGCCTGGCCCCAAGCCGGGCTCCTGCTGCTGCCCAGCCCCTGAGGGTGCCCTGGCAGCCAGCAGCGGTCCAGCGCAGATGGCCAGGGAATGCTGGCTGAAGAACGCAGCTCATCCCGGGATGGCTCTGCGTGTGTGTTGGGGAGCAGAGTGCGGGCCCCCCGCAGACCTGGCTCCCTGGAGGCGGAGGGCACCTTGGGCGGTGGGAAACGTGCTCACCTTGATGCCCACGTGGGTGTTGTGGGCGTCCACCCGTGCCCGCAGGTCCTTGCTTCCTCGCTTGGGTCCCAGGAAGTTGCTCAGAAACTTGGTGCTGTACTTGAGGTTGTCGCCACACACGCCCCACTGCCAGGCCTGCCGGCTCTGCAGCCCCGGGGAGTCATCGCAGGTGCAGCGCTCCATGCGCCCGGCGCTGCAGGCCCGGGCCAGCGCGTGGGTGAGGGCGGCCGAGGACACTGCGTACAGGAAGGCCGTCTCCTTGAAGCCTGTGCCGGGCACCCGCGGCAGGGATTGGGAGGGAGGAAGGGAGGGGAGGAAGGTCAGAGGCCATCCACCGCCCTCTGGGGGGCAGGGGGGATGGGGCATGGAGAGCAGGGCAAGGGGTCATGAACTGAGGACAGGGCTCTGGGCAAGCGTCCTTGTCACCCTCCCTGCCACTCAGGCCGCCACTGTCATGTAAAAGGAACCTCCAAACTCACTACGGGGGATGTACCCAGAATCCCAGAGGGCACCAGGACAGGGCCACCGTCTTGTCCTCACTGAGCGCACATGGAGAATTCTGGAGAAGTGACCCAGGCACCGGGCGGGGGCAGAGCCGGGGCCAAGCAGCCTCAACAACTTCCCGTGCACATGGGCCGAGTCGGACCAACCCATTTCCGAGACCCCCTCCCCCTGAGAGGTACTTCCTGCTGCTGCCACTGTGCGGCTGGCCGGTGACAGAGTGGCCTTGGCCCTCCTGCCCCACTTGTCCCAGACTGACCATCCCCCGCCCCGCCCCCACTTCCAGGACCATCGCTGCACTCAGTTGAGGCCGGGCCCACATCCGGCCTCCCACGGCCCTGCCTCCCACCTGCTCTCCAGTGTACCTGTGCTGCTGGCGACACTTGGAGACACAGACAGAAGCAGGCCATCAGCCCAGTCCCAGCCCTCTCTCTCCCTGCTGTGGCGGGGCCGGCTGTCCCCGCCACCCCCATCACCATCTCTGCACTTCCGTGACAGCTCCCATCGCCACCCCTTCCTCGTGATGCGGTGGCCTGGACGGTGTGCTTGCTGTGGGCAGAGGGCACCTGCTCCAGCTCTGTTCCCCCAGCATCCAGCACAGTGTCTGGCTCACTGTGGGCCCCTCCCCCCAGATGCTGAGCGGAGGGGTGGGTGGAGGCATGGAGGGGCCTAGGAAGAATCGAGGGGGCTGGGTGGGAACGGGAAGGAAGGAGGGAGTGATGGATCCACAGACGCGATGAGCCGAGACGCGGGAATGGGTGAACGAAGCATCATTCGTGCTGTCTGGCCAGTTCTTACCTCTCGGCCTCCCTTGCACGTGCTTGCACTTCGTTTCATGTGTGTGCGTGTGCGTGTGCATGTGTGTGCGCATGTGGGCGCGTGGAGGAGGCAGAGGGAGGTGACAGGGGACCACCGTCTCATCAGCGGGCTCCCAGGAGTGGGCTTGCGTCTCCTCCTTTCTGGGGTCTCCCTAGCTCTCTGCCTCCCCACCCTGGCCTTCCACAGGCCCTCATAACCCCGGGCTCCCCCGCCGACCCAGCCCTGGGCCCCACCTCTCTTGAGCAGCCCGGTCCTCCCCTCCAGGCTGCAGTTCCAGCGCTCCTGCCGGAACTGGAACTGGCACTCGAGCAGGCCGAGGCGCGCGGCGTCCCGCAGGGTCTCTGCCAGGCCGGGCTCGCGCCGGCACAGCTGCTTCTGCCGGCGGGACAGCTTCAGCAGGTCGCACTGCTTCAGGTGGGCGCCCCCCTGTGCCGGGGCCGCCGCGGTGCCCAGGCCGGGGAAGGGCGTCAGGACCTCGCGCCCGGTCAAGCTGGAAGGGATGAGAGGAGGGAGGGGATGAGCCTCGGGGGACACAGTGGGTGCAGACCAAGGGTGCAGAGCCCTGGGGATGGGGGGGCTTCCTGGGGGCTCCAAGCATCTCCCTCCTGGGCAGCAGGCCGGCCTCAGCGGCTGCATCCCCTTTTTACAGCGTGGGAAGCCAAGGCGCTTGGACAAGGTTTGGTGCAGAGCCTCAACCTGTTACCACATCAGTCTCTGCTCTTCTTGCCCACCCTAGCCCCCAGGGTGCCAGGTTCCCAGGACCCACACTTGGCCATCCTGATTCTGTTGGTTTGGTGCGGGGCCTGGGAATCGGCATACTGACCACCTCGCCCTGGGCAGCGTCTGTGAGCAGGGACATTTGGGAAACACGCACGTGGCATGGGCCGCTGCTTACACCCAGGAGCCGCCTGCCCAAGAGGGGCTGGAGACGCAGGCAGACACCCAGGGGAGACGCCGATACCCCTCCCTTCCTCACGTGGCGCTGCTGCCCAGGTAACCCCAAAGCCAACCAGACCCATTCGGCCACCCAGAGAGACCCCCAGCCCCCGTCTGCCAGGCGCCTGGTGCTGATTGTTGCTTGGGGAACCCCGGGGGAAGAGGCAGGGAGGGCAGTCCGAGAAGGGAGGAAGCTGGATTCCCCCCAGGCCACGGAGGCTGGGCTTCGGCTTTCCCTTTCGGAAGCCCACCCATTCTGCCGAGTTCTAGGCCTGACTGTCGCTTCCCAGCTGGGCAATGGCGAAGCCTGGTTTTCTCCTCTGCCGAGTGCACAGGGCAGCCCTGCAGCCCTCCCAGGCTCGCGGGGAGGATGGCGGGCCAGGGTGCACACTGGGGTTTCCCAGGCTTCGCCTCCTAACCAGGCAGAGTCCGTCTTCCGTCCACACAAAGGGTTTGTGAGTGACAGGCCCAGCTCACGCAAGAACAGTGGGAGCTCTAGAATCAGAGCCCCCCCCCTCCAGTCTCTGAGAAGCACTGGTCCACAGCTCCTCCTCTCCCACGCCGCATGCCCACAGTGTGTGCGGGGTGGAGGGCAGGGGGCACTCACACCCTTCCAGGGCCCGGGCCAGGGAAGGCACCCCTTTCTGGAACATGCCAGCCTCGCGGAGGGAAAGGGGCAAAGGAGGAGGCAGGCAAAGGCTCTCCGGGCCCCTGCTCAGGTGTGGCATCTGCCATGGAGACCCCCGTGCCACCGGTGAGGACAAGAGCCCTCAGAGGCTGGGGGGCCCTTGTGGGACTGAGCCAATGAGGACATAGTTCTGGTTGCAGCCACCTGCCTTAGCCAGGACATCTGGCTGCGTGCCACGCCCTCTCTGCCTGCCCCAGCAGCAGGAAGGCTCCCCCGAGGGTGTGGGGCCCGGCCTGGCCCCAGGTGCTCCCAGAAAGCGCCCGTGGACCGCCAGCCCGTCAGGTGCAGCCAGCCCGGTGTGGCGCGTATCTCGGAACCCTCCGAGCTGAGACTGATGTTATCGGGCTCCGCTGGGCCCGGCCTGGCCTTGGGCTCCCCTCCCAGACAGGGTGAGGGCAGGGGCCCGTTAATCATTAATCTGGGGGCAAATGGGTAAATTTCCAGTCCACCAGGCCTACACCCAAACTCCTCCCTGCAGCCTGGCAGGAAACCCTCAGAACTTGACCCTTGGCAGGTCCAGGGCAGAACCAGCGTCCCCTGAGGCCGAGGAGGGCAGCGTGGAGGGCGGCCAGGCGGCTGCATCCCTCGGGTCCTCACGTGTCCTCCTCCCCCTGCCAGGGGCGGGGCTCAGGGGCAGCTTCTGCTCACACAACCCCCAGGCCTTAGACACTGGGACCTCCCCAGGAGGAGCTGATGGACAGATGGGAGAACAAGCAGGAGTGACAGGAACTTTGGCCAATGGGGCTGCGCATCTCTCCAGGCCTGTGTCAAATGCTATTTTGAAAGGAGCTACTGCCATCCTATCATCATCGATGCATCATAGGTCCTATTATACAATGCATCAACATGATATTTGTCACATAACATGTGTATGTTACCATACTTGCTCCTAAGCCCTTTAAATGGCTATTGTGGATGGCAGTTGGGGCGGCTGCCCACCTGTTCCTTCTACCTATGTGGTGACCATGGGTTCCCTGTCACTCATTTCATACAGTACGACCTCACTGCCCTGCTTTGTTGATTGGACTGATGGTGATCACATGACCCCCTCTGGCCTGTCCCTGGAATCTGGACAGCGAATTAAGAGAGCACACAAGAGTGGCGCTGTGGCACACTAGGCTAAGCCTCTGCCTGTGGCCCTGGCGTCCCATATGGGCGCCGATTCGAGTCCTGGCTGCTCCACTTCCACTCCAGCTCTCTGCTGTTCTCAGTTTCGTGTAATAGACCCTGAGATTGATGGCTCCAGGAGTCCAGTATAAAGTCGGTTAATTTTATTAGCAGTAATGGCACTAAGTGGTGATTAATGGCCAGGAAAGGCAGTCAACCGCACACAGGCCTGAGGCTACGCTGGGCCCTGGTCCACCCAGCTCTGCTCCCAAAGAAGATTCCCTGGCACTGCCTCAGGGGTCCCCACGGGGCCTCTGAGGACAGCGGAGGGAACCTCGGGACCTAGTTCCCTTTTGTTTGCTTTCTACCTTGCAGACTGAAGAAGCGGTGCCATGACATCAAACTAAGGAAATGAGCAATAGATTTCCCTAGGTAGTGCTAGCGAATTCTCCTACGAGTGCCCACCGAGGGCATCTGCCAGGGCAGGTTGGTTTCTTTCGGGACCTCAGAATGCGCCAGCCCAGTCAGGGGTCGGCTGGCCTGATTCTCTCCTCTGAAAGAAACCACGCTCTGGCTTCCAGGCCTCGGGACCCCATGCCAGGGTCCCACCATGAACTCTCAATTGCCCACACGTTAGCTGAGCCCCACGGGGGTAAAAGGCACATGGCGGCAGGGACCCAAGCACTTGGGCCATCATCTGCTGCCTCCCCAGGCACATCAGCAGGAAGCCGGATCAGAAGCAGAGCAGCCAGCACTCAAACTGGCAGTCTGATACGGGATGCGGGATACCGCTGTTGCATAGAGTGGCCTAACCCACTGCACCACGATGCCGGGGCCCCAGAAGACACTGCCCCATAGCCGATGAGGCGCTATCAGCCAAGCAAGTGACCAGCATTCGGAACTACAGGCCAGAGGAACACAACCTGAGGGCTTGCTAATTGTTATTCTGGGCTGGGTGTGAGGGCAGGGGCAGCTGTTTCTTGGGCTTCTGCCCAGCCCAAGTGCTCCGGAACCACCTGGGACCTCCACTCCCCCAGCTGGGCTCACCCAGGCTGATAGGAAAACAGCAACCCCCTGTAGCCAGTTTCCAGCCCATACCCCACCCCCACACAACAAGATGCCGCCGGCCCAGGACATCCCAGCCATCTCCTCCTCTCTGGTGATGAACGCCAGGGTGCCTCTGAGGACGGCATCTCACCCAGTCCCTCACCCCCAGAGCGCCTCTGTCCACGCCAGGCCCTGGCTTCCCCACAGCCTTCCTCACTGCCCGGCGCTCACCTCGACCATGGCTGTGGCTAACGCGGCCCCATGAGGCTGACCTTGAAGGAAGCAGAAGCCTTTCCTCCCCAGAGCCCAGGGACACCCCCCTTCAACAGTCACCACCTCCTGCCCCCAAGCTGTTCTGGCCTTGGGAATCTGGTCCCAGCTATGCAGGAATGTCCATCCCCCTACCCCCAGCCCATTCCATCCAACAAGTACGCATGGGCTCATGGGAGAGCTCAACAGGAGACACACTGCCAGGGTTCAAGTCCCACCTTCGTCTCTTAGCTGTGCTGCTGTGGCCAAGGCGCTCTGCCTCTTTCCGCCTTCTCTGCAAATGCAGGTACCAGCACCTCCCTGGCAGGCTTGGGTCGACGGGTTTACCCTGCCGCTGGTAAGCTCCTGTTGTTTGTCATTATTAAACGCCTACTGTGTACTGGATGCTGGGACACAGCCCCCCAAAGACTCAGTCTGGAGGGAACAGGAGTCTCCCCACTCCACCCCCCAACTCCCCTGAGACTCCAAGGTGGAGGGAGAAAAAGACCTGAACAGGGCTGGCTCGGCTCAGGCAGCCGGAGCGGAGCTCCCGGCACGGTCTGGGGGAGAGCCTGACCTCAGCCAGGGCCGTCCTGCCTGGAGGTGGGGCAGGCAGGAGGAAGCTCCCCTCCGCGCTGTCTGGAGGTCAGACACCTGGGGGTGCCCCCAGCTCCCTGCTTCCAGGACCCTCCCTCACCCAGGACGAGGCGGGGATTTCCAGGGCACCGGGCAGTGTCGGCGTGTCTGGACTCTTGGCTGGAGGGGCCAGGAGCAGCGGCTGGCACCAGGGCCACGCCGACCACCAGCAGCTGCCTGGGAACCAGGAAAGTCTTGCGCTGCCTGGGGCGTCGGCGCCCGCACTACCCCATTAGATGCGCCGATAACAGGCTTCCGCGGCGGGGCCATTTGCATGGTAAGTGAGCCCTTTGTGCTTTCATCTCCAAGATCCCGGCCTCGCCAAGCCCCCTGCACATGCGCGCCCGCACACCCCGGCCCACGCCCTGCGCTCCCCGACTGGGGGCTCCCCACCGCGGCCACGCCGGTCCCGGGCGCTCAGCCTTCAGAGAGCGCGGCTTCACGACGGCCAGGCGTCATTCCCCTCCTCGCGTCGACCCCAAGCCTCGAATCCTCCCCTCCCTCCTCCGCCTCCTCCAGCAGGGCGCCCGGGCTTTGGCCTCCTGGACCACGCGCCCCCGGGCCTCCCCGCTGGGCTCCCCCACCCCGGATCCCGCCTGCCTTCCTTCGGCAGCTCTCACGCCCGGCGCCTCGTCCCGAGCCCGGCCCAGCTGTGGGCTTTTCTCTCCCAGGCGGCCCCGCTTCCTGTCTGCCAGACCCGGAGGCATCAGCGACGGCGCCCCGCATCTCCACACGCCGGGCTGTTGGGAGCGCGGCCCGTGCCCCATCTGTGCGGGAACAGCTCGCCCTAATTCCTCGGTCTCTGCCTCTCCTTAGGCTAAGACTGA